TATATATGTATGAGAAAAATATTTATCAAGGATTTCTAAATAGAAAATATTTGAATTAATAGTTGGTAAGTAACAGGCGATGGATATTCGATAATTTAATGAATAGTTAATTTTTTTATAGTTATTAGTATTGTTTATAGGGTTGAGTTATTACCATATTCTAAATAATTAATGTCATATATTTTTAATGTAATTATTTATTATACCCTATATTGTATTTTTTTTTAAATTTATACTTTTTCTTAATAAATTAAATAGTATAATAATCAATTAAAATAAAAAAATATGACATTATTAATAATTAAAGGTGTAACAATAATACCACCCTTGTTTATAATTCAAATATATTTATTTTTTCAACTAATCCAATCAGTTAATTACTGATTACCAAACTTCCATTTGAAACATCCGTTAATGTCTTTATTTGTCACTTGGGTAGTTGGGTGTAGGTTGTGTCCTTAATTGTATGGGCTGTTTGTATCTTGGGCCTCCTCCGTTCGTATTCATTAAATCGTTCTGGTCTTCTAGAGAATCATTAGGCCTTTTAACAGGGCTCCCACTTTATTCTTTTATTTATTTCTTCCTCTTAATATCTTAACGCTAAAATGAATTAGAGAAAATGGTGATTCCATTTCATCCTTCCTTTTTTTTTTTTTTTTCAAATGTACTTGTTTACCAAGGTTTCATCCCCATATTAGTTAGTATGCTAAATTTAAGAATTGAAAATGCTGATTCTATTTCCTTCATCTCTACTTCAATTTTTTTTTTAAATGTAATCATATAAAGAAGTAAAAATCACAGAGGAGTTTGGACAAGGTAGATACCATTAATTAAAAATCTTAATTTATGGCTACAATTAAGGGTTTAAATCATTACAATACTAACTCTTTACATAAAAAAGAGAATAAAAAAAGGGGAAAAAAACCCTTTTTTCCTTTTGTTGTTCCGTCATCTATGTACCAAATATAATAATTTACCATATAAAAAAAACATAACAGTTGAGAATCAACATTTCATTAAATTTTCATATGTAATAATAAAGCAGTATTGCCATTGATTAAATTTGAGATTCTTTTTGAAAATTCAATGGATAAGAAAAATTACATAAAATAAAGACTCTAATCAATTTGAGAAATGTGAGTCCAATTTTTGACAAAGAATTAAAAGTAATTTTTTGATTCAATCTTTTAGTTCATATTTTTTCAAAAATAGAAAAAAAAAAGGTTTTTTTTTTCGTACTAACCTTCTAATATTAAGAACTACATTGGATTTTAGCTAATCTAGAGTCGAGTTAAGTTGAACTCATATGGACGAAAACTCTTTTAACATCATTTTTTTTTTTCATTCATAAGATCATTCATAAGATTCAAATTCAAAATCTTATTTAAGAGAAATAAAATTCTTTTCACTCAGTCTACCAAGTTATTAGTAGAAAAAAAAAAGTCTTTCAATTGATATAAATCTTCTTCAGGGTTTTAATAAAATTTAATCTTGACGGGGAAAAGTTGGTATAGAACCTAATGATTGAAATCTTTTACAAAATTTGTGTGCTTTGTAAAATGGCCCGCTCAATAGGGAATGCACAAATGCTGAAGGCATCTTAAAAGGAATATTCTTAACATATTTTAATTAAGTAACACAATTTTATTATGTGTTTTAATTATATTTTAAATTTATTTATTTTATCTTAAAATAATTAATATTT